CTTCTACATGCACATTAGGGACTCAATAAATATTTGTATCTTAAGTAACCTTAACACTAGAAATAGAAGACAGAAATATCAAATGGAGCCAGAGGACACTGTCTCAYGGATTCCTCTGTTGGGGGGCAGGTCCTTCCAGATATTCATGGAAGAAATCACACACCAAAGGGCCCCAACAGATTAAGCCCTGGGAAACTGGCAGAGCAAAGAAGAAATGTGGAAGTTCCAGTTTCTTTTGTGTTACAAGTTTCCAAAATATGAGGAAATATGCCAAATGCCTTTGGCTTTCAAACGATAATATAGTCTGAATTAATGACTAATGAGGAAACGCCCACTGAGAGTTCATGGACAGTATCTCTCCAAAGGTCAGATCCTGTTGGCAAATGACCAAAGAACCCTTCTTTCTTAAGCTAGCCAACAACTTCTATGGCCAGGAAGCACTTTGCCATCAACTCAGCGAGCAATTAAAAGCATCATTTGAAATTAATCTAACAACTCCACTGAAAATACCAAAACTTGTGCATGAATATTTGATTTGGGTCTCAGACAAGATTTTAAGGGAAATTGTTTTTAAAAAGTAGAAATGTAAAGATAAGCCATTTTTAAAGAATATTAGCTTGTTCTCCTTTACCAGTTTAGTGGATAAACAATAATGCTCTGAGGCTAATTTTAAGGCAAATGCAATAAAATGATATGCATTTCTTCAAATTAAGTGTACATCCTAAAATACTCCTAGTACATTTGTTTTATTTCAGATTTTGAGAATTCCTAAATGAATTAGTCCCTAAATTAATTCTTTAATTAACATCAACATATATAATGATTTTTTTCTGATTCCAGTAAATTTCAGCAGAATAAGAAACAACTAATAGGTTCTGATTATTTGTTTAATGCAAGTAAGAATACATTTATATAAATTTAATATTCAATAATATGTTCACCCACCATTTACTGAACACCTGTGCAGCACTGGGAACTTTGATAGATATTGGGAGACAGAGATATAAACAAAATATACGTGGTTTCAACTCTCATGATGTTTTTAAATCTAGTCAGAAATTTTACATTAAATAAATACAGAAACAATTCAACAATTAAGAAAAATACTAAGTGATCAATAAAGCATCTTTCAGTTTACTTTAAAAACTATGGCTTCCTAAATAGAAGAAGTGATTTTATCTAAATTTGATTTGTCCTACAAAATAGCTTCCATTTCAATTTTCAACATACAGAAAATCTATTATAGACACATGAGATTATTTCTAAATGTAAAAATGACAGAAGGAATTTTTTTTCAGGAAAAAGTAGTTTTTTTTTTTTTTTTTAAGAAATACTTTTAACCAAGACAGTTTCCAGGGGGAATTAATGACTATTTTAGGTTAATGGTCATTGGCTTCATGTTTGGCCTTCAATTAAACTCTGAACTTTAATTATTATGACTTAATTGATTTGGTTATATTTCATGTTAGCATTTCAAAATGACCTTCCTTTTAAAAAATAAAAATTACCCTAACATAGTACCACACGTCTTTGTTGAGCCTGACATTGTCACTACAGTCCACACTAACTTTACCTGTGGTTGAGCCTAGAAGCTGCTTAGTTTGCAAGGTCTCATTGGGGTCCTCTCTATCATTTTTGCCTATGCTGTGAGACAACTCAGGATAAATCCAAGTGAGGGAAAAGAAATGAAAATGAAATATATTTGACGCCATGATTATGATTAAAATGCCAACAAAATCCACCGAGATCCATTTTATTCTAAGTGCAGGGGTTAGACAGTGTTAACAAAAGCTTTGAGTCACACAATTAAACACTGTCAAGTTAAGCTCATTAAAAAATGTTACTATATGTATCTTTTCATTACAAATGACTCCAAATGTTTAGTTGTTCTAGTTAATTAGATGAAAATTTAAATTTCTTACACAGGGAACAATGAGAACAAGCTGGATTTACTTAATCAATGAGCTGGATTTTATATGAAGTAGTATGACACCAAGTTCGGAGAGTGCTATACTGACTGAGACAAATTAAGGCATCAAATGAACATGTCCCCTCCCCCTGTATTGTGGAAAAGTTTAAAAAGTTTTTTTTTTTTTTTGAAGTACTTTGATCAAGCTTTGAAATCATTTTAGTGGATTCCTATTGTATGAAAACTGTAATTTATAGTGCTTGACCTAAGCAGCTCTTTTGTCTCAGAGCCATATTCAAAACAATAGCAGGAAAGTAAAAAACACAAGGGGAACTCAAGCTGTTCTGGTTATTATTTAATTCATAATTCTATCTTCCTTATTTAATCTTCAGAATCCAGGCATGTTCTCTGATACCAGGTTCAGAATGTATTTAGTGTATATAGGAGGGTTAGTTTTGAGCAATACGATCAGAGGATCCAAACTTTGTCTCAGGYGACCAATTCCTTAACAGAAGGGACTTTACACTGGCTCAGACAGGCGCTTCCCTGTAGAGGGGGACACTGCAGGCACACCCCCATTGTTGCCTTTTCGCTTCCTCTCTAGTTAAGCTTGTTTGTTCCTTAACCCTGATCAAGAATGTGCTGGCCAGGAGAAATTCTCCTCCCATTCTTGTCATAAAATTATAATACTTTGAAGCAAATCAGCTCCCATCAGATCACACGGACAATGGCAAGCTGACCCCGTGAAGAAGGAGCTGAGTCATTTGCTAACTAAATCATAGAGTCATTTTACTATTTTAATTCACAATTTTAATCAGATGAACAACACTCAGGCTGAAAGGAGCTATAAAACCCTACGTGTTTTGTTGGCTCCTTTTGCCAAAACACTTAGTAAAGGCATAAACCTCGTACCGTATTTAATCCTGTAAAATCTGATTACCTTAGTTAAAAGTTTTTATGATCCTACAGGTGCCTCAGAGGAATATTTTGACATGTGATGGATGCTTCTTGGGTTTTGCTTGTCCCTGAAGAGATTAGGCCAATTGTTCCACCCCCCACCCCCACCCCCCACCCCCAACAGATGCATTGGGGCTTAGTTGAGATGTATTTTGATCCTGGGATCTTTTTCTAGAAAGAAAAAGAGCCAAAGGGTAGTGAGATATGCAGAGTAGAAGCCATGTGGAAGGAAACTGGCAAAGGCCAGTGAAGGGAAGATGATCTGAAAGATACGAGCAGCAAAGGAAAGGAACTTGAAGGTCCTGAAGATTTAATTCATTTGAAACACATGGTCTGTCCACGGGCACAGGTTAAAAAGAGCAAACCTCTGAAGTATCTTGGCTCAGAAGAGGAAAGCAAACAATGGGTGTAGCTCCCTGGTGAGAGGCGAGTGAATTAACTGTTCACTTGGCACAGTGCATTAATTAGTGTGGCCCATCAGGGACCATTTAGTAGATTACCTCATCAGGGCTCTAAGCAATCCCCTGGTGGCTTGCATGAGTTAATGCACCCCCCAAAGACCAATAATTTATCATCTTTTCCAGGGTGGAATTGTGCCTTGCAGATAATGAGCAGGTACATACACCTATGGTTAAAAGAAAATTATTTCCCCTGGAGGTTCAGCTTTCTATTTTAGAAGCCTGAACCTTCTTTTTTGTGTGTGATTTTAGGAGTGTTTTTGAAGAGTTGCCTTACTAGAAGGCAAAAGAAAAAAGATTCTCAGTTGTTTGTGGTTTTGTTTTGTTTTGTGGGGTTGTGGGGAGAGGAAAGGGTGGTGGGAAGGAGTCYATGAAGTTACCCTAAGTCTCAGTACTGGATCAGCTTAGGTCTGAACCCTTTCCTCTCCTTACTTGAAATGGGTCTCTTGTGTGTTTGTGGGAGCAGATGCTTGGCAAGTCTCTGTACGCCAGAGAGGACATCAGTTAGCATTATGTTTTACACACACTCCTCCTTCCTGGCGTGGCATAATTCATTAGCGCAGTGTGCAGGATGTTCCATAAAACAAGATTTTGCTTTAACGTTAATGTTCTAATGACGACAGCAATAAAAATAAGTTGTCATCCCATGTCTACTATCCAGGGCTGATGTTTATACTGTTTAAATTAAAAAACAAAACAAAACAAAAAAAAAAAACACATAGAGATGAAACACAGATAAGTGTTTTAACATAAAAGAAAAAGACAAGAAGACTTTAAGCTTCTGATTTGGGAAATTACTCCCTTCCTTCCCACACCCCTCCAATTCACATGTAGTAGATCTAATCAGATTAGTTTTTGTGTGGGAAAAAAGCTTCCTTTTAAGTAACTTGTAACATTATTGCAGCATGTAGTTTGCTGCTAGTTTCTTTCTCTCTTTTAAGGGCCAAATTGTAAAGCTTCACTCATGGAGACAAGGGGGTGTCTTTGGGGACTACCCATGCCTTCCCACAACACATTATGTCAGGGTGCCAGGTAGAAGAATATACACAAAATGCAAGCGCCTTTTTAATTTTTTAATTTATTTGGGCACATTCATCATAAATTTGTTTAATGTAAAACAAACAAATCCTTGACAAGGGTTTAACAGGATTTTCAACATCTGTGCAGATAAATGTAATTTATTCCTCAAGAGAAATAGCAGTGTAAAGCATGCCATGAGCCTGCCTTTAACAGGTTTAAACATTTTTGTTCAAAATGTTTGTGCGCATGTGTGTCGGCACACGCGAATATCAAGGCAATATGGTAGTGTTCTCAAATCATCCTATTTATTCACAAAATCAGCATGATAAATTTTACACTGAAATACAATTTTGCTTGACACCTCTTTATCTCTGTCTTCCTCCCCTCTTGCGATTTCATATTTCATGTAGCAGTCTCACTACAAAGTCTGGTTTGGATTCCAGGTGTTTGTGTACTTTTAAAGGAAAAGCAATGAGCAGAGTTTTGCAAACCTTCTTAGGTACAGAGTGAACTAAAGAGCAGTGCCAAACTTAGTCTTTTGAAGAACCAAGTAATGTGTACAACATAAAGATGTTTCCAATAGTTACATTTTGATTAATATTTCCAAAATCACCTATTTGAATTATAAAAGCTATATTTTATAAGCATGGGGGTAAATATTTTGCTAAACACATTTTTTGATATATTTTTAACTTACCAAAAGATAGGTTTTAATTAATTCATTTTGTTTTAGACTGAAGTCTGGTGTCTGGTCTGGTCTGCAGTATACAAAGGCGAAATTAAAGCGAGCAAATACAAAATATCCTTTATTTTGCTAATTTAAAAATTGCTCCAAGTTTATTCCTAGTATACTTCAGTCCTTTAAAGCTGAACATTTCTAATGTATAAATTATTTGAGTGTCATAAAATTATRTGGTATAAAAGGCAGACACAAAGCAGTGTAAGGAATGTGTTTTAAAAAATTGTTGCTCATAAAAATTCTGGCTAAATTAGCACTGACAGCTAGCCATGATTAAAAATAAACTCTGGACAATGCTGGCCCAGAATTTCAGTCCTCTCCCCTCAGCCTCTAAGCCAAAGATGTGTGGCTCCCAGACACAATGTAACCAATGCTTTTAAATGAGATAAATGTAAAATGTTTGGAGTTCAAATAAGCATTATCAAAGAGGAAATTCTCATCAAGTATATTTTTGCAGCTTGGCATAAAGCCACAGAAGCCAGGAAATTGTAAAGCCTGAGCAGAATAAGCATGTGATATAGGCTACCATCTAGGTCGGCTGCAGCCCTGCAGGTGACAGCCAAACTTGGATTCAGACTTTTCTGTCTTCAGCTTTTGTAGGTTTGGCTAGGTTATTCCAGGACAGTTAATGCAAGGATGGGTACCTGTGAGTACACATGAAGAGAAGGGGGTGTGGGATAAATGGAAGCTTAGGGAGGAAAAAAAAAAAAAAAAGGAGATGATTTGGTAACTGGGAGGAGAATTGAAAAATCACACCTTTCAGTCTCCACATTTTTTCTTTTGTTCAGTACACAAGGAGAAACCATCCGGAAGGAAGAAAGATTATGACTATCTATAAACTAACTGTTTGACAGAGACAGAAATGCTGATAATGAGTGGGTTGTGTCTGTAGTTCTTGGCTGTTCACATCAGCAAGGGATGAAGGAAAACAGAAACTCCTGATATGTTTGTCTAGAGAGGTAGTGGTGAGACCACGGCGGCGAGAGTTCAGCTGAAGTTCAGGGCAGATGTTGCCAGGAGTTTACGCTGCAGGAAAGTAAAATTGCTTCCGGATTTACCTCTTCCTCCAAGCTTCTCTTCCAGGATCTTCAGGGTCAAGCTGTGCTATGGCATAAGGTGACAATGTCTGTGGGGAAACAGGCTTTGAGCAGGATGCCCCTCTCCCGGTTGCAGTCCAACTCCTGGATAAATCCATACCAATAGATGACCAAGCCCGGCCCAAATCTGCAAGAAACACCAGAAAATAACATRCACACATAGTATCAATATAGGTCGTTCCAGAAAAATGTCATTTTGGAGGCACAGATAATATGATTAAATGACTAGGCTGCACAAAGTTGTTTTGGTTGCTATTATTATGAATTAAAGTTGCTGAACTTATACCAAAGAGCTCATTTAATATAGAAACCTTTCTTTTCCAGGAACCTGAAAAATTCAGATGTAGGAACTACCCATAACACCTTTATATAAGGTGTTATGAGCTTGGGCTAATGTGGCTACTTGGCTGACAAGGAAAAAGCCAAAGTATAAACAGTGATAAACTGGGGCATACCTGGCTTGGGATTAATATTTAATTTAATATTTAATTTATATTTAATGGTGCTATTTTAAAAATTAAACTTGTTCACTTTTCTTTTGGTGCCAGGGATTGAACCCAGGAGCACTTAACCACTGACCCACATCCTCAGCCCTTTTTATATTTCACTTTTTTGAGACAGGGTCTAAGTTGTTGAGGCTGGTCTTAAACTTGTGATCCTCCTGCCTCAACTTCCTGAGCTGCTGGGATTATAGGTGTGTGCTACCAGGCCTGGCTAAACTTGTTCATTTTCAATTGAGGAAATGAAAAAGAGTGTTTTAATAAAAATTTWAAAAATGAAATGGCTTTATGTCCTCTCTGGCTATAATGTTGTATTCATGCACCAACAAGGCCAGAAGCATCTCCTGCTATACACTCTTTCCAAGTCTTAAAAGAAAAGAAACCCATGCCTATAATCTCATGTGACTCAGGAGGCTGAGGCAGGAGGATCATAAGATCTAGGCCAGCCTGGGCAACTTAGCAAGACTCTATCTCCAAATAAAATAAAAAGGGCTGAGGATATAGCTCAGTGGTAGAGTATCCCCGGGTTCAATCCCCAGTACCTGCCCCCTGTCCTCTACAACCCATATGACAAACTGGGATTCTTTAAAGATACCTTCTTTCCAACACTTCACTTTGTGCATTACAACCTAAGAGCAGATTCAGCATGAAATTTAGTCACAGGTTCTCATAGAAAGAAGTAATAAAGTCATACAGACTTGTGGCAAAGTATAGACAGATAGATRCAGGCTTAAAACCTCAACGTTTCTAAGTTGTGCCTCCAAATTATCTCCAATTTTGTTAGCAGTGACTGATCCCCGCCAGGCAGACTCAGGAAGTAGCCCTGTAGACTACTTCACCCATCAGGAAGTTGAGACCTTTAGGCTGGGTTCATAAAGATGTAATCACTATCAATCACTGTGCACAGAGAGATGTTTTGCACATCAGTTTCACGTTTTTCCTACCGAGAGCACTTAATTAAAGGGCAGCACTACTTTTGGTGTAGTGTTGCAGGAATTTTACAGTGAAATCATAAATTATGAATGTTGGGTTAGTAAAAGGATGTCTAAAAACAGAACTGCTTTCTGTATTCTAACATTACAGCAGGCTGAGCCATGCTAGGCCAAAAGCTTTTTCCTTCTATGATTTATTATATGCTGTGGTGTACTTGCCAAAACTAACAGTACAGGATGGGCTGTGAGATACTGTATGCACAGGAACAAGTTCAGCTGGATGTCATGGACTGGTTTATTTGGGGATTCACATCAGTAGAGTAGGCAAGTTGGATTCGAGATGTGTTCTAGGGGTTACAGAAACTGGGCTGGAGGAGAAGCCTTGGAGCATAAGGTCCAAGATTCACCCAAATTCAGGGATGACTGCAGATGCTCTCTTCTTCCTTAGCATCTCCAAGGAAGAGGTTCTTTTGAGTCAAAAGAATTAGGCTACCCGTACCTGAGGTGTAAGCCCCAGTACTGGAAAGCAAACAAATTCCCCCTGGATTAATATTTGCTTCCATTCAACAGAGGGTATCTTAGTAACTTAATCATGAACAATGTCTCAAACTGGAACATATATTATTTGGTACCTTTATTTTATAAATAGCTCTGTGATTAAAACCAAATGATGTCAGAGTTATGAAAAAAAGCCTGGCAGGAGCCACAAGATCTGTGAATATGTGGACCATGTCTGTGAGGCCTCCAACTGTCCCAATGGTGATGCGTTCGAGTCACAGATCTAACAGTAAGCACGACAAACACACTCCTTCCTCCATTTTATTATATGGCTATTCTGGAGACCACAATGTTCTTAGAAAGGCACTAATATTTTTACAAAGGGAGAAAAAATGTGATCTAAAGAGTCATGGAAAAGAACAAAAGAATGTATGGGGGTCATAAAACAAGCCCACTGCTTTAAAGATTTAATAAAACAAAAACACATATCACCAGCACTGAGCGAGTGAGAACAGCCTGTACTTTTCCTGAACAGCTAAATCACAAACCAAAGAACTCGAAGCATGACAGCTCTTTACAAAAATGGCATTTCCTAGGTAGAGAAGCCAGGCTGGGGATACCTCATTGCCCAAGAAATAGGACTCGTTTCACTTGTGAGGCAACAGATGAAACCTGACAACTCAAAAAGGTCTTGCAAGATTGCACCTGAACATTTCATGTGGTGGATCACAACCAGGATTCCCTTGAGGTAGTAACACCATCTACAAACATTCTCAGCAGGACTCACAAGAAGTCTCTACCAACTCTCCACATCTTTGTTTCTTATGAAAGAAAGTTAATGTTAGCTCTGTCATGTAGTTTAAAATCTCTCCTTGACAGTGTGTGTCTAATTTAAAATGAAGAAACAAATTCCTTTTTTAAGTAGAGAGGGGTAGAGAGGCTTTCAAATTATGTGGTCTATAGGTGATAAAAATAATAGGGGCTTGAAAGAGTGACAAGTTTGGAAATTTAATGGCTGAACAGAAGCTAGCCTTATTCCTGGCATCACATCAGTGTATCTCTGAGCTTGCTCCAAGAGTTCAGGATCCAAAGATGATCAGATGCTGCTAAGATAGCCTTTCAGCAACTTACTTGTTTATCAAGAGGCTGATCACATTAAACAGCCTTTATAGTCACTTCCTTGGTTATCTACACTAAGAGGAGAAGAATTTTTGGTTGATAACTTGAAAGACCAAGCCATCCAAACCTGTTCATTCTGAAAAGGTGTAAGGCAGGGAGAAAACAGGACCCCAGAAAATTCTTATGTAGGAGCCTGGCATGGTGGTGTACACTTGTAATCCCAGCGGCTTGGAAGGCTGAGGAAGGAGGATTGCAAGTTCAAAGCCAGCCTCAACAACTTAGTGAGTCTGTAAGCAACCTAGTGAGACCCTGTCTCAAAATAAAAGAGTGCTGGGAATATGGCTCAGTGAGTAAGCACCCCTGGGTTCAATGCTTGGTATAAAACAAACAAACAAACAAACAAACAAATAAATAAATGTGGGTCAAGTCCTACTTATAGGTTGAGCATTTTCACCATGTTGATACCTATTTTTTATTTACTGTGGCACTATTGGGTAAGAATGAGATCACTGGGAAGAATATGTAATCTTTGTGAACAATTAAAATTCAAAGAGACTCTGCTAATGGCATTTAAAAGGAAACAGAATCCCCGAGACTGAAAGAATATACAAAGTAGAGAGTTGTTCTGCTACTGGGATCACAGTCCTGCTGACCAGCCCAGAGACACTTGGTAATGAGAACTGAAAGAACAAGAATTGATTCTGTAAACACCTTTCAAGGTTGACTATTATTTTAAAATTGCTATAGTCATGGTCAAGTAGTATGATAAGGACTCCCCAACACATTTAAAGTCTCCTGGGGGGTAGAGAGAAGAATGCCAGTGACTTTTGAACAAGTAATTTTGCTTAGAAATAAAATTCCACAAAATTAGAAAAACAACAAATACCTCTTGAAATAATGGGAGATGAAAGTTCAGAGTCATGAAAGACCTTGAAGACATGAAAGATGAAGTTCATCATAAATCATGACAACCTAAAAAATGTATTCAGATGTGTTTCTATGATTTCCTTCCATTTTAGAATATTTAGAGAAATTAAGTAGGAGATTGTGACAATAAGGCTGGGTACCTTTTGTGTTTTGGTGCATACTTGTCTCTTAGGGATCATCTCTCTGTTTCAGCATTTCTCTCTTTTTTATTCTGAGGCCTTGGTGAGGGCAAAGACCACGTTTTGTTTATATTCCTCAACTCTTGTTATCTGCCTAGTATGTGGCAGATACCCTCCTGGACAAGATGGAGAATATGGTATCAGTAATAACAGAATCAGGCAGGTTTGTTGGTTACTGAATCAGTGGTAGCCTACTTTAGAAGTGTTGGTGGCAGGACCGAATTATTGCCACAAGATGACAATTTTTACTATGGTAAGGATGATGGTAATAATAGTTACACAAATGTTCTTACAGGTTGAAAATTCCTACACTGAAAATCTGAAATACTAAGATATGATTCTTTTTGGGTGCTAACATAATGCCAAAGTGGAAAATTCCACCCCTGACCTCATATGATAGGTGGTAGTTAAAACACAGGTGCACTAAAAAAATGCCATAAAATTACCTTCAGGCTATGTGTACAGGGTATAAATGACACATAAATTAATTTTGTGTCTATACTTGAGTGTTACTCTAAAGATATTTTAATATGCATTGCAAGTATTTCAAATTCCTACAAAATCCCAAATCTGAAACACTTCTGGCCTAATACATTTTGGATAAGGGAGGCTCAACATGTATTAGTACTTTCTTAGCATTTATTGTGTGCCAGACATACTTCTAAGTGCTTTATCTACATCAGCTCTTTTTATTTTTATTTTGAGACCCAGTCTTGCTAAGTTGTTGAGGCTGGCCTGGAACTTGGGATCCTCCTTTCTCAGACTCCCAAGTTGTGGGAATTACAGGCATGTGCCAATGTGCCTGGCTTGACAAATAATTTTTATGCCAACCTCATGAGGTAGGTTCAATTACCATTCTAGAAATGAAGAAATTGGGGCACAAAGAAATTTAGCAGGTTTCATAAAGCCTCACAGCTAAAATATGGAAGAAGCTATCTTGGGATCTAGGCAGTCTGTGATTGTACTAACCTG